TTATTGTTGCTAACTACTCTTCTATCTTTATAGTAAAAGCACTAATTTCTAGCCTTTTAATGCTATATTGTAGTAGCTTATTATTATAGTAGCGACTGCTAGGCAGTAGCCCTATAACCCTTATAGCTATAATATTAGTTAATGCCTTTAACGTCTATATAATGCAAGTATATTTATTGCTTTATAGCTACTTTTTAGCTAGTAAGGTGTTATTAAGCGGCACGTATACTAGTCTTATTTCTAACTTAATAGATAAGGTTAAGGTGCCTATAGATGCTATGCATAAGGTGTAGCTGCTATGCATTAGCGTAAAGGGTAGCATTAGCACGTTCTTAGCTTCTAATAGTTTGCGTACTAATCGTAGAGTAGCTGCCTTATAATTAAACATTGCTTCTTATAGAATAAAAGTTAAAGAATGTAAGGGTTAGTATGCAATGTATAGTTATAAAGGCTTAACTAGTTTATACTATTATATTAAGACTTTAACTTAACAAACTATAGAAGACTAGTAGGCAAAGGCTTGCTAGCTAATTTATATATAGCTAAAAAATGCAGTGTTATAACCTTAGTAAAGCGTAGCATAGCTAAGTAGCTATACTAGTCCTATACAATGTGTTAAGATAGTTCGTTAAGTCTATTACTTAGTAAGCGACTAGTTGCTAAACTAATGCGTAGGGACGCGTATATAGAATACCCTTATAAAGCTAGTAGTTAGTAATTAGCTATTAGCGTATATAAGTTAACGTACTTACTAGTAAGCATAACGTATTATTAGCTATATAACAAACGTAGCACGCTAGGTTCTTTAGCGTAGCTATATATAAGAATTTATAGTAAACGTCTAGATAAGCTTTAAAGACATAGTTTAAACATAGAGCCTACTATAAAGTTAGCTATTACTTAGTAAACGCTATACTAGCAAAGACCTACGCTTTTAGGAAACAGCGCGTATGCCTAAGAAAGGCGTTTTATAAAGTTTATATTTATAAAAAAGTCTATTAAGACTTAAAAGTAAGTTTAGTTAAACATTGTCTATAAGCAATTATTAGCTAGCTACTATATAAAGTTGCAAACTATTATATTAACCTACTATATAAGTAAGATTAAAAAAAAAAAGCTAAAAAGGCAAGAGTAGTCTTATAAGTATAAATAAATTCGTCTTAAATTATAAAATATACTTACTCTTTTATACCTTAAGGCAATAAAGAAGCTACATTATTAAATATTTAAATGCGTCTTAAGAACTTCCTTAACCTTGCTTTAATAGCAAAGTAAGAAACGTTTAAAATTAAATAAAAAAATGTCTTAGCGGCAAACTACCTTTACTATCTAGTAAGTAATAGTTTTATAATTAGTAGGTAATAAACAGCCGCTATTACCTTTATCCTACCTTGCTAGTAGTTAAAAGTTGCAAGCCCTACACTATTATTTTTAGTTAGCGTATACTACACCCCTATACACCTAGTATTTAAGGCTAGCCCTTTTATAACACCTATTAGCAGCATCCTAAGCGTTCTTTAACTAGGATCTAAGCTGCACGCCTCCTAGAGAGCTTTAACAAACAGAACAACCCGTGCATTAGGCAGGATTTAGCGTTTACTATTAGCTATTGTTGCATTCAAAAAAAAAAGCAGATCATAGGCTATTCGAAGATGTCCTAGAACTTACACAAAACCGCTGGACCCACAAGCTCCCCACATCCCAAACGCCCGCATTCGTGCCTTAGGATCCTGAAACGAAAGAGATACCATGCTCTGTGCAGAAGGGATAGCAAATGCAGCCCCCAACCCTATGTATTGAAACGGTTTCCCGATTAGCCAACGATGTTATTCGAAATACTGTTTGATTAAGGCAGGAACGATAGGCTTACCTTGTATAGCTCTGCTAACAACCAAACCAATCTTGTCCTTAATCACAGCGCACAAAAGTGTAGCAAGATTAAACACACTCATTCCAAAGATCAAGGCCACCCGATGGCCGAAAATGTCCCCGAAGCGCCCACCAATAAGAAGAAAGCCGCCGAACTGTAATACACCGCCATTTAGTAGATGTGTCAGTTTAATAGGTCTAGTCAAGGCAATACAACTTACTGCTAGTGAATAGGCAGTTAAGATCCATTGAATTGAACCTTCATCGTAACCCAGAGCGTCTTGAATGGTCGGTAGAGCGATATTGGCCATGCCAATGTTGGCAACATCTACAAAAAACACAAGACAGCTGCAATTTTGCGTTAACTCTAACCCTTTTAATTTATTTCTTATTTGTAGGCTTCCACGCGTACAAGGTATGTGTTGGGTTGACAGAAAGTCAAAAGGGAGGAGATAATTGAACGTATATTGCGGGCAAAGGTGGTCGGATCTTTCGATTCCTTAACTTACACAATAGCCAAAGTGACTACTTGAACGGGCCGCATTGAATTTGCCATTAAAAAAAGCCGAATTATGTAGCCAAAGAATAATATGAATAAAAAGCGAACACGTTGTATTACCTTCGTCTTCAGTCAGAGTTAGTTTGTATTGATGTAATGGAGAGTTCTACTAACGAACTGTAAAACCATGACTTTACTCGAGCTTATATATTATATAAATTTATTCCGGCAACAGGACTTTGCAAAGTCATTCTTAGGAGGCAACCAACTTTACGTCCTGATATAATACGTAACCAAATCATGCCTGCCTAAGGTGGTAAAACAAGTCTTCTGTTTAAGTAAGTTAGCAGGACCATAAGATGCTAATAATAATATGGTGTCTTAGTGTGATGCATAAAGATAGCACTGTACCCTACACTTGCGACATAAATTACGTACGAGTAAGATTGCATACTTTTGTGTTGAATGGGCTACATGTAAAGACCTGTGTAGTATAATAGAAAGATACGAGAGTACTTGCGGAGAACTGTGCAGAGTTCGGCCACTAAGACCTATCTATTTACCCCCGTTATGCAGATCTCTTTGTACGGACTATGGAATACATGGAAAAGCTAAATTTATGTAGGAACATTTACTTTGCTTACCACTTAGCATGTAAAAGTATCGGATGTCCGTATAGAGTATCCGTGCAGGCATGGCAAATCAGCACCAAAGTGGTATTAATTTCATTTGTAGCTTGGCGTAGCGGTTGATAACGGACGTACGGAGTACTTAGGGTTAGGAAACTAGTACACTAGTACTTTAAAGGACTAGTTTAATAATAAATTAGCTAACTATTATACACTTTGTATCATAAAGGGTTTGTTTGTTTAAATCGCTATTTAAATCGTTACTTAAAGCATTATTTAAATTATAACCTACCTCCGTACTCTTAGGGGCAATTGCAGAAAATAAACCACAGTTATCAGAACATATTTATCGCTTATATTAAACACGGCCACGTAAATATCCCGAATTCTATACTTGTCTATTGTTCGTACCAGTCCGAAACACAAGACGTAGGCTTACAAGCACTTTCAAAGTACGACCGAGACAGTAAAGCATAATCAGAGCACGACCGATACAGTCTATAATAATCTCCGGTTGTACTGTCTATAACAATGCGAAGGGAGATGATTTTTATTAACAAACTGTTTTTTAGTGATGAAACATTGTGGCTTAATATATAGCTCATCGGGCTTCTTAAATTGCGGTGTGTACCCATAAAGTCTCGGCCTATGTGCACACCGGCGCTTACATGAGTAGTCTGCGCATAACACCTTGCCGAGACTTGTGGCTACAATACATGTAAAGTGGTAGCCACAGCGCAGATGCCGACTCTTGTATAACGTAGAAAAAAGCATAAAAGTCGAGCACTTGGAGTGACTGTGCTTGTGAAATAGAGCTTCCACCTACGTCCTATTCCTTTGATTGAGATTTGGCCATCGTAGCCACCATCATGCCTCTGTTTAACGACACCATGAGCCTTGTTTCTGGGCCGGTACAAAATGCTCAGCATAGACCCAGACCTATAGTAATGGGCACCGTGCAGGCCGCCTTTCCTTTGACTAGGAATCAAGAGAGTATTTGGAACGACCAAAAAGCCAATCCAGCGAGTACAAGCTACAACCTTACGCTTGAGTGGGATTTAAGGAAGTGTGGCGAGAAGCTGCCCTTAGTGTCTGATGTTGTCAAAGGTAAAGATTTTTATTGAATACGTTTTTATTTTACATAGGATTTACGGCTAATTTGATATGAAAATTTAGTCATCAACACTTTAACGGCTCGCCATGGCATCCTTCGGTCAGTTATTAACAACATCTCGCACAAGCCGCATCATATCGAGTACGTCCAAGGTTCTGTCGTCCCCAAGATTCAACTAGTGCAGAGTGACGATGGACGTATCGCCGAGACAGTAATCACCGAGATGCTGTACCGACCTATTGCTCTAGACAGAACGCTTCCTGTTCGATGGGTTATTCTCCACGATCAGGAAGAGTTTAGAGCATATGCTATAGGTCATCATATTGCAATTGATGGACTTTCCATGAGTATCCTATCTAAAGAATTTCTCACGTTGTTGTATAAGCCTGAGTGTGCTCTCAGAGCTGCTGTTGAATTTAACAACATGCACATGCTAGAGGTAAATATTAGCCTTTTCGCTTATCTCCTCACTAGTGCTAACTGTCGTTGAATATAGCGCGGGTGGACAACCTCGCCAGCCTATAACAGCAGCCGTGACATTCTGCTTAGTCAGGTGCAGGACACGTACCACGGTCCCTGGATCAAATCTGATTATCCAGAGAATTCTATAAAAAGCGTGTCTCAGGCGAATTATCGCGAGATTGATGTCTGGGAAACACTCCTTAAATCGGTTGGTCTCCGTCTTTTGATCACCTACGGGATCCTGTTTATTTTACTCACATCTGGATTACTCGTTACTTCATGTCTTCAAGCTAATTTTTCCCTTAAGGAACTCGCAGAATGGAGTAAGATGTACAAGACATCTTGGTTCCGGGTAGCCACCACATTTGCCGGTCTCATAGTTGCAGATCGTACTCGACCTCCACTTGGCTGCGAACCAGCGCTTTCAATGGGATTTGGGTCCCGCCCACCGGCCATGGCTAACTGCGTGGGACAGTTTGCCAGCGCCTTGCCTGTGAAAATACCGCTGTGGCAAGTTGCTCATGATGGGGACGGTACTTTCCGATCCCTTGTTTCCGCGGTTGGGAAAAACATTAGCGACGTGAAGAAAAATGAGCTTTTTCCAGCCGTAGAAATAGCCGAGGCTATCCGTGAGACCGGCTCTGACTACACGCCGCCTCGTGTGGCCGTCACTTACTCGCCGAAACTTGCTGACGCAGGTTGTCGTCTCTTTCCCGTCAATGGGGTTTGGGATCTTTTTTTCTGCTTCTTGGAGTCTGAAGAGGATGTCAAAGTTGGTATTATCTATGACCCAACAATATTTTCTGCGCTGGACGTTCGCGACATGAAGACTCTGTGGGTGCGTCTGGCCGCTATCAGCAAATCCAGCAATGCCATGGTGCGGGACATGCTCGAATGGTTGCCCGAGCATACATCTTTACCTATTGTCCCTTTGAAGTCTCAGAGAAATCCGTTACGTCACATACACCATTGGTTCGACGCTCACGCCCAGACGAATCCAGATGCTGAAGCCCTCAGCTCTGGTGAGCAAGACATATCCATAACCTATGGAGGACTCTACGCATCAACTGAACTAAAGGCAAAGTGTAGGTGAACACCACGGATCACATCATCTTCCGTATAATCTGGTTCTTGGTTGACGTGCATCCTTTACAGTTTTGTTATACAATGGCATCAGTGCCGGTGACAGAGTCCTTGTGAAATTGGAACGAGGATTCCAAACCCTGGAATGGATGCTCGGAATCCTGAAGAGCGGTGCCGCATTTATCTACGTCGATGTGGACTCGCCCAAAAATCAAGAAGATTTCATCCTAGAGAACGCTGGACCCAGCCTTGTCATTAACAAGGCGCTAGTGGAAGAGTATTCCGAGCGTGTCATGGGGGAGCCGTTTGATTGCGACCTCGCGACACCCAAATACGGCACTTCAGATGATGATCTCGCATACATCATCTACACATCCGGCTCCACTGGCAAACCCAAGGGAGTTATGGTCGAGCATGGCAACATCGCCTGCTTTGTCAAAGCTTCGACAAGCGCATACAGATGCGGGTTTGGAACGAGAGTTCTGCAGCTGGCATCTTTCACCTTTGATGGATCCATTCTAGAATGGACCACAGCACTGTGCACTGGGGGGTGTTTGTGCTTTGCTGAGAGCCCAAAGCACCTTGTCGGCGAGTATCTTGCTGACGTCATCGAAAAGAACAGGGTCTGATATGCAAATCACTCCCTCAGCACTGGGGACTTTGCCGGTTTCTCGGAGCTTGTCATGTCTCCGGCTCATCTCAGTGGGTGGCGAGGCAGGATCCCGCGGTATCTTTGAGCGATGGCACTCTCGAGTCGATATTGTCAACGCATATGGTCCAACCGAAGCTGCCATTGCCGTTTCCTTTAATCGCATCAACAGGAGCGACCTTCTTCCAGATATAATCAGCGTCGGTCGTGCAAACAAAGGGAGTGAGCTCTACATTTGTGCCGAGAACTTTAGACCAGTCTTGGGGCAGGATAGTGTAGGCGAGATTTGCATTTCTGGTTCTCAGGTGGCAAGAGGATACTGTCAGCTCCCGATCCAAACAGCCAAAAGCTTTTCCGTCCACGAGGATGGTAACCGGATGTACCGAACGGGGGATCACGGAAAGATTCTAAGCGATGGCTCGTTGGTGGTGCTTGGGAGAGTCGATCGAGAGTTCAAAGTTCGTGGCTATCGTATCAGACCAGAGGAGATTGAAGGAGCAATTCTGAGTGCCAAGGTGGGGGTTTCAGAAGCGTCCGTTCTGATTTCTGAAGAAGGCACAGAAATGATCGCTGCTGTCACACCTGACTCAGTCTCGCAAAGCCGATTATTTGCCAGTCTCAGGTCGAAACTTGTCAACTACAAAGTGCCCTCCCGGATTGTCAAGCTTGGCCGCATGCCAAAGAATGCCAGTGGTAAGCTCGACCACCCCGCTATTCGACAAGAGATCAGGGCTGCTCTTGCAAGGGACAGTCACATTGATGGTACAAGTAACACTGAAGTCTTGAGCGACGAGGACGATATCGAGACTCGTGAACGCAATAGAGAGCAAGACGTGGGCAAAATCTGGACCAGGTTACTGCACCGAAACAGTTCTCCTGCTTCAAATGTCAACTTTTTCGATATTGGAGGCCACAGCCTCCTGGTTCCTCAACTTCACGACGCACTCAAACAAGCATTTCCGGGAAAGGCTGTCCGATTAGTCGATCTCTTTCACCAGTCAACTATTGCTCAACAAGCTGTTCTGCTCGGTGATGATCCAAAAATTGGAGCAACCAAACCTACATATACAAAGCGCAATAAGAAGCACACGCACGTTTGTCGAGAACGCAAAGACAGCAGCGACAGCAGCAGCAGCGCCTGTAGAAGCTGTTTTGAGACAAAAATCCCGAAGCTGGCAACCAACTCCGATAAGGAAGTCTCCGAGCACGTCGCCATTGTCGGTCTGGCAGGTCGCTTCCCTGGGGCAATGTGTCCGGATGAATTCTACGACAACTTGGTAAAGGGGTATTCGGGCATCAGATCGTCTGCCTCATCAATCGCACACGAAACACTAGATGGGAATGTCTGGGTCCCGCAAGCAGGAGTTTTAGACAACATCGAGGATTTCGACCATCAGTTCTGGAACCTCACCAGAGAGGAGGCCACAGAGATGGACCCTCAGCAACGCCTGTTCCTCGAGATGGCAGATGAGGCGTTGCGAGATGCAGGAATCGACTTCAAGGTAGCCAATCCCGACTTTGGTTCACGTGTGGGCATCTTTGTCGGGTCGGCCAACAACAGCTACCACGTCTACACCGAGTCTGTCTCGTCCGACTCCTTCCTCAAGGAGAATCGAGGCCTCGTTGCTCCATCCATCTCTGCCCGGACGGCGTACCAACTAAACTTTAGTGGGCCAAATGTCACGGTCCAAACTAACTGCGCCAGCAGTACCGTCGCCCTTTCCTTAGCATGTGATGCTCTACGTCTGGGTCGCTGTGAGATTGCCGTTGTGGGTGGTATCTCTGTGCAGCTTTTCGAAGGCGGATATGTCACGCAAGAGGGTCAAATCTTCTCACCACAGGGTGTTTGCCGACCATTTGATGCTAAAGCCGATGGCACGGTTCCTGCAGATGCCGTTGCCGCCGTCGTGTTAAAACGTTACTCTGCAGCGGTACAGGACAGTAGCTCCGTGTACGCCCGTATCCTCGGTACCGGGATTGGCTCCGACGGCGCACGAGAGAAAGCTGGCTACCAGGTCCCATCCCCCAGGGGCCAGGCAGAAGTTATAAAGTCGGCTTGGCGTACGGCAGGTATATCGCCTAATCGCCTTTGCTATGTAGAGCTTCACGGGAGTGGCACTCCTGTAGGCGATGCTCTCGAAGTCGAAGGCTTGACTCTGGCGATGAGGGAACTTACTGGTAGGCCAGGCAAAAATATCACTGTCGGCTCAACCAAGGGAAATATCGGCAACACACAACACGCTTCCGGACTCGTGTCACTAATCAAGCTATGCAAGTCTATGCAAGCGGGCTTGATTTCCCCGACACGAGGACTGGATAGTCCTAATCCAATGATCAATTCTAGCTCTAACTTGGCACTGGCAACAAAAATGACCGAACTAAACAGGGATGATCTGCTTGCAGTGTCTGCTTCTGGTTGGGGCGGCGTGAACTCTCACTTTGTCCTAGCTTTTCCCCACAGACATCTGCAAAAAACTTCGACAGGCGTCGCTCCAAGCAGGCAATTCAACAGAGAGACTTTGCAAGCACCTAGGTTGCGTCGCGGCAACGGCTATTAGATTTAGCGTGATAGAGGTTTAATTTAATATAGAGTAACAAACTATATTGTAGTTTGCAACGTGCCGGTCTGTGCTTTATAAAAGAGTAAAAGCCGTACAGAAAGAAATATACGTCGGGAATCATTGCACCACTTATAGCGAGTTTAAGGCCTTTCAAAGATCTAGTGATGATCTTTGTAGGTAGGTTAACTGGAATCTAGACTGCGTGCGTAGTGCGCGCGTAGGGTCTTATCTGGTTATTTCGGACGAAGATTATATACCACCGGAAATCCACACCGATGCGCTCTTTAACCAGACTAGCTTATCTTTACTATGGAGGCAAAGCTCCGACACCGCTATTACTTTTGATAGCAGCGAATTATTTTCGGAAGCGAAATTGACCATCAGCAGCAGGAGTTTAACCGATTCTCCCAAAAAGACGACAACAACCCGCTAGAATAAAGAAGCAAGACTATTAGCAATCACAACAGAAAGCGGATTCTACAACTATGTTCGCCTCGTCCAAGACACCAGCCTGGTCACTTCCAGAGCCGCAGCTTAGTGTTGTGCGCCCCGGCATCTCGCTCTTAAAGCCATTATCACGTCGTGGCGAAGGCCCTGGTCTAATTGTCCTGTGTCCGGATGCCGCAGACTCGCTGACGATCACCAACGGTGTGCCTTGGCCGCTTATAAAATGGGCCGAGGAAGGTTACGCTGTCGCTGAGATACAGGCCCGGGCGGTTGTCGACGCTGCCGCCGCTGTCACCGCTGTCCATGATGCTCTAAGGGCACTTTCAGATTGCAATAAATGCGCCCCGAAAGCTAAGGTAGGGCTTGTTGGTATGTGTCACTCTGCTTCGCCGTAGTCTAGTTAATTCTAACGATCTGTCCCTTATGCAGCTTACAGCGCGTTACTGTGGAACAGCGTGGCTGCAGCCATCCCGCAGTTTACAGAGGTTGCTGGGGCTGTCATATATGCAGAAGCCTCGGAACAGGCCACGGTTTCTGTATCGGCTACGCCGCGCTTGCTTCACCTCGGCGGTCCCTCATCTGCAGGCCGCGCTATGGAGCGATCCGAGGGCCTAACACAGTACCGGTATCCCAACACAAAATCGTATCGATTCGCGATCCCATTTCAAGACGACTTTGATTACTCTGCAGAGGCCGTGGCACACACCCGCAGCCTCACCTTCCTCAAACCCCTTGTGAGCGGGCCCTTTTTTGACCTCGAGACCTTGTGGGAAGAGCACACCTTCTATGAGTTTGAAGACCGTTCCGTCGAGCATACCATGAGCACCATGGTCCAAGAGCCCTACGTAAATCACATCCCGACGGTAAGGTAGTCAACATGCTGACACCCGCTGGCCATCAAATAAGGGAAATGTGCTGACCACTAGGTGTCCCACTTGCTGCAGATTACAGGCGGCATCGGTCGAGCAGATCTGACTTCATTCTATGGAAATCACTTTATCTTCACCAATCCTCAGAATGCCGCGATGGAACTTGTCAGCCGAACCATTGGCATCGACCGTGTCATCGATGAGTTCCTCTATAAATTCACCCATGACAGCATCATTGATTGGCTGTATGTATACTACTAAAGAGGCTGTTGATTGGTCGCTAATATAAAATCACGTCAAGGCTTCCAGGCATTCCGCCCACCGGAAAATGGGTAGAGGTCCCATTCACTGCTGTCGTGAACATTCGCGGCGATCGCTTGTATCATGAGCACATCGCCTGGGATCAGGGCACACTTCTGGCCCAGCTTGGTTTGCTGCCTGAGTACTTGCCCTTTCCGTATCCCGTCCCCGGCAAGGCACCTTCTTCTAAGGATGAGCCGGAGAGAAAGTACGAGTACCGTTTACCTGTCGCGGGCATTGAGACTGCGGCTAAGCTAAGGGATAAGAATTCTGGGCCATCAAATAAGATGTTCGAATTCGCCGTCCGAGAATGCTAGCTACAAACTTATGTAGTGAGTATGTAGTAATTATTACATGGCTTTATGTTAGTCTGTTAAGTTTAGGCCTGTACGAGTGTTGGCGCAATTTTCCTACGCGGCATTTTGTACTCGCTTATTTTACTACTCTGTACTCCGTAATTAGACCAAGTTGTCGAATAAACCAAGTTCAAATAGGAAAGATGTAAGGACATATAGCGCAAGATAAAAAGATTGTTAAGTGTAAAGGTTAAAGGAGGCTATACATGGCGGTCATATGACGTGATGCATTGTAAGGAGTAGGAGGCTAAATAGGGTATAGTGTAAGCAGAAAGTGTTTTGTGTACGGAGTACGGTGTGGCTTCTACTCCGTGCACCACTAGTCTGTCACGCACGTTCTGCGTAATCACCAGTGTAAGACCCGTAGGTAATCCTTGTGGGATATTCGTCCGGACCAGTTGCACGTATCGTAGTAAGCTCTAAGGCCTTCAGAAGATCTAGTGATGATATTTCGTTCGGTGGTTGACTGATTAAAGACCAGACTGTGCGCAGTATGCGCGCAGATCAGGGCTTCGTCTTATCTAGTAATTTCGGCGGCCGAGGTCAAAGTACGCCTTAAGAATGTAATTTAGGCATAGGGCCTACTATAAGGTTAGCTATTATATAGCGTCCGCTATGCATGCAAAGACCTACGCTCTTAAGAGATTATATATATGCCTAAAGAGGGCGTTTTGTAGGATTTGCCTTTATAGGGAAGTTTATAAAGACTTAAGAATAGCTTTAGTTTAATATTGCTTATAAGTAATCGTTAACTAGCTATTATATAAAGATATAAACTATTGCATTAACCTACTATGCTAGTAGGTTAAAAAGGACTAAAGAAGTAAGAGTAGTTTTATAAAGTATAGATGAAATTGTTTAAAAAATATAGGATACACTTACTCTTTAATACTTTTAAGCAATAAAAAAGCCGCGTTATTAAACGCTTAAATAAGTTTTAAAAACTTGCTTAACCTTACTTTAATAATAAGGTAAGCAACGTTTAAAAGCAAATAAAAAGACGTCTTAATAGCAAGGCGCCTTTGCCGCTAGGTTAGTAATAGTTTTATAACTAGTAGGCAACAAACAGCTACTAACGCCTTTATCTAGCCTGCTAATAGTTAAGAGCCTTAGCTTTACACTACTATTTATAGTTAGCGTGCACTATACCCTAGTGCCCTTAGTATTTAAGGCTAGCCTCTTTATAACACTTATTAGCAGCAACCTAAGCGTTCTTTAACTAGGATCTAAGCCGCACGCCCCTTAAAGAGCTCTTACAAACTAGACGACCCTTACATTAGGCAAGATCCGGCGTTTACTACTACTATAGACTAAGCAGTACGTGTGCGCTTCTACGTTACCTAAATGCAGTCGCACTAGCGAGCGGTCTGCAACCGTTCGGCGATAGCTAATAACCTAGGGCACTTAACTCTTTTTCCTACCTTATACAGGAGGTTTTTTAAACAAGCAAGTAGCTACCGCGTATGCACCTCTAAGCTAACAAGGGCGTTACCTAGCAAGGAGGGGGATAGTGTAAGAGTATTCTACACACATAACCCTACGCACCGGTTCGGCAACTAGTCGCTTACTAAGCGTTAGACTTAACAAACTATCTTAACGTGTTGCACGGGACTAGTATAGCTACTAAGCTACGCTACGCTATACTAGGGTTGCGCTACACCGCATCTCCTAGCTATGTATAAATTAACTAGCAAGCCTTTGCCTACTAGTCTTTTATAGTTTGTTAAGTTAAAGTCTTAATACAATAGTACAGACTAGTTAAGCCTTTGTAACTACGCATTGCACACTAACCTTTATATAAACCTAGTTAAATAAGTTTTTACTATCTTTTAAAGCTATTACTAGGTTAGCTTTATAACCTTTAAGACTAACATTTATAATGCCTTTTATTGCTTTATAGATTTCTTTAAGACGTAAGCTAGCTTAAAAATTTAAGCAATTAGATGTAATAAAGGCATAGAGTTTTAACTTATAGCTTAGCTTTTTTAAACTTTTAAACTTTAACTCTAAGTAGCGGCTTATAGCACTGCTTTAATTATTATTGCTTAAAAGTCTGTTTAGTAGAATGGTACTAGTAAGCGCGTAAGACGTACGCTTCTTAATAAAGCATACGCAATCCTTATTTTGTTAAGACTTTATTTATCTCTTTAGCCTTTTGCTATTAAATCTATAGTTATAGTGGTTAACCTACTTTCTTTACAATTAAACCCTAACTACTAAACCCCTTAGTACTGTTTATTTAAGTCTCTTAGGCTAGATAATGCAGCTACGCTATATATCTAGCACCTTTACACCTTTAGCTGCCGCACTTACGTGTATATAAAAACAACTAATTGTAAGTTGTCTACTAAGTTTGCAAAGTAAGCGCAAGTTAGCCGCCTAATCGGCTACATCGGTTGCTACGGCCGAATCTTTTAAGTCTATTTCCTAAACACGTATAAGATTGTACGCATGTCTTTTATCTGCTTTTATAATAAGCTAAAGCCTTTTTTAGCTTATAAAGAATAGCTTATTAATAGTATTATTAACTTTAAACTAAACTACCTGCCTCTTAATAGCAGAAAGTTGCTAAAAGCTAATAAAGCCTTATTATTAAATTCTGCCTTAACTCCTTTTCCCCCTTTAAATGCAAACTAACGATTTAATACTCCTTTTATTAACTTTAGGACCCTTAATAAATTACCGTCCTTAACCGCTTATAAACTAGCATCTACTACTACTAAACACACCTTTAGCCTATTCTTTACAGTCTTAGAATAGTACTTAACACCTAGCTTAGACCTTATATTATATTCTTTTTAATAATCTTTTATACCGATTTTAGTATTAACTGTAAGCTCTTGTTTTTCTTGCCTATATAGCCTTAAGTTATTTATAGTTAAAGTTACTATTACATCTTTATCTTAGTCCTCTCTTAAGCTCTTTATATATAATAGGCGTATCTTAAAGGCTACTAAACCTAATTTTATTAATTTTATTTATTAGCTATAGTCGACGCTTAAGAATCTATGCATCTTAAAAGCTGCTCCTATCGACGCTGCTGCTGCTTTTATTAATGCAGTTACTGCTCTAGCTAAGCTAAAAGTGTTAAAGATGTTAGTATAGAAGCGTAAAAGCGTTACCTATAAACATATTACTATAAAACTACGTTGCTATAATCTTATAGATTATTATATACTAGCTAGTTTTAAAACCTATGCTTGTGTAGGCTTTACTAATCTACCCACTTTTAGCGCGGTTAATATAAACGTCTTAATGCTTTATCTAGCTGCCTTAAAGGCCTTGCTTAAACTTAATCTAATTTAGTAAGGGTATTCTACACACGCGTCCCTACGCACCAGTTCGGCAACTAGTCGCTTACTAAGCGGCGGACTTAACGAACTATCTTAACACGTTACACGGGACTAGCATAGCCACTTAGCTACGCTACGCCCTACTAGGTTTGCGCTATACCGCATCTTCTAGCCACGTATATATTAGCTAGTAGGCCTTCGCCTACTAATCTCTTATAGTTTATTAAGTTAAAGTCTTAATACAATAGTACAAACTAGTTAAGCCTTTGTAACTACGCATTGCACACTAGCCCTTTACATTCTTTAACTTCTTTTCTATAAGGAGCAATGTCCGATTATAAGGCGGCTACTTTGCGATTAGCACGCAAACTGTTAAAAGCTAAGGATGTGCTAAGGCAAAGAAACTACCCTTATTAGCAGACGCAAAGCACCTAATTAAGCTAGAAGACAGCGTAAAGGTGCTATATAGCCCTTTATACCTACTATCTTTTGCCTAGTAAAAGGAGCTCCGCCGCTTTATTAATAAGTTGTTAGCAAATAGGCGGATTGCCTATAGCAATAGTCTAGCCGAAGCCCTAGTAATCTTTGTCCTAAAGAAGAATAGTACTCTTTATATATACGTTAACTACTAAGGTTTAAATTAGGTAACTAAGAAGGACCGCTACCCTCTTTTATTAATTAGTAAGCTATTAAATTGCTTAGACAGTATAAAGGCATTCTTTAAGGTAGATATAAAGGAAGCATACTATAAAATCTAGGTTAAAGCCTTTAATTAGTAGAAGACCGCTTTCTAAATAAAATACAAGCTCTTTAAGTTTTATATTATGCCCTTTAAACTAACTAACGCGCTAGCTATATTTTAAGCATATATCTACTGCGTACTAGCAAGGCAAGTAGGCATAGTCTGCAAGGTGTACCTAGATAACATCTTAATCTACTCTTAGACTAAAAAGAAGTATAAGAAGCACCTTTAATTAGTTTTTAAGCGGCTAAAGGCCGTGTAGCTATATATAAATCTTAAGAAGTACGAATTCTTTAAAGAGGAAATTAATTTCTTAAGGTTTATTATTACTATAAAGAGGCTAGCTATAAACCTTAAGCAAGTTAAAGCTATTACTAATTAAAAGGCCTCTAAGTGCGTATAGAATATACAATCCTTCCTAAGGTTTGCAAACTTTTATAGACGCTTTATTTCTTACTACTCTTACATTATATAAGCCTTAACAAAGTTAATAAAGATAAGCCTTAGCTTGCTATATAAGCGTAGAGCCGTTACTATACAACTGTTTATATTAACTAAAAAGGCAAAGGTTGCTTTTAAATTGCTAAAGATAGCATTTATAATAGCAACAATTCTCTACTACTATAATAATACAAAGCTTACGTAGGTAGAAACAAATGCGTTAGGCTACGCTATCTCTAGCATTATCTTTTAGCTTATAGATAGTAAGTAGCA